CCATGATTTTGGGAGGGAGTAGACTAACTTCCTCACAAGCTTTTCATTTGAAATGATCTTTCCATATGATTTAAGACCATTGACAATCGTTGAGAATCTATCCGTCATAGCTTTGATATCTTCATTTGGTTTCATCATGAAATTTTCATAGCTATGCGTTAGAATACTAATTTTAGATTTCTTTACCTCATCGGTACCTTCATGAGTGACTTGAAGTTTGTCTCATATTTCTTTGGCGGTTGTAAAAGATGAAACTCTTCCGTATTCATCTGGTTCAAGAGCACAAAATATGATATGGATGGCTTTGGAGTTGAGATGGAACATTTTTGTCTCTCATTCACTCCATAATCTTGGATGAGTCAGAGGCTTGAAGTATCATTCTTCTACGACATTCCATGCTCCCATGTCACTTGCTTGAATGAAGTACATCATCCTATTTTTCCAATAGGCATAATTAGCCCCATTGAAGAAAGGAGGCTTGTTGATGGGCAACGAATCAAGACCGGAGTCGAAGTTTGAAGTAGAGGTCATTGATGACTTTGATTATCGATATAACTCTTCCCGAATCGACTCAAGAGGCGATTAAACCTTCAAATGAGTTAGGCTCTGATGCCAATTATTGAGTTAATCGATTGACGGAATCGGCCAATAGGGGGTGAATTGGCAATAAAAATTTTGGTGGAAGCTTTTGCAGAAAATTGAAAGAAATTGCACAAAGATTTAGAGTGGTTCCACAAATTCACTAATTTTTCTTTCTTTTGAGGACAAAGAGTAACCTTACAAACCCTCAAGAATTATACCCCAAATTCTTGAGAACACTCTCTCCCAAAGAGAACAATACAAATTTGCAAACTTACAAGGAAATCCTCACAAGGTAGATTCTTTGCACAATTCTAGAACAAAGAAAAGAACACTCAAGAATGAATACAATTGAGCACAATAAGTGTTCTTCAAAGCAAAATGAATATTGAATGAAAAATAGGCTTGAAATGCTCAAACTTGAGGTTTGATGCTTTCTCTTTGATTCTCTCTTGATTCTAGTTGCTTGATGTTTCTTGTTATTGATCAATGGCTTCTAAGCTTGCTTAAATACACCTTGAATCACTTCTGAACGTTGGGGATCATTAATGAAGATAATATATCCGTTTTAATGTGAAATCAATTAATAAAACAGTTTGGAGCGTGGGGGGAATCGGTACCCCTTAAGGGGAATCGATTCCCTAAGTGTAAAATTCAAATATTTAGACCGTTAAACAGGGGGGAATCGGTACCCCCTGGGGGGGGAATCGGTTCCCTACAAGCATACTGGAATTCTCGGAGCAAAACCATTCAGGGGGAATCGGTTCCCTCTGAGCAATCTGAAATTTTTGGCTTTGAGATGGTTCGAAATATTTTGTAAAATCGTTTTGAAATTATTTTAAGATTAAAACTTAATTTTACACTTGAGTAAGGAAAAAATGACATTTGAAAGATTTAGAGTAATATTTTGATATTCGAATAATTATATCGAATATACTTAGAAAATCTTTTTGGAAAATCTTAAAATTCATTTAACTTAATTTGTTATATCGAAATATCAAAATGTTTTCAACAGTTTGAGCACTTATTTTGGTATTAAGCCCTCTTGAAACTTGTAACATCCCAAACTACAGGTTAGTGACTAAATTGTAAAATTAGCTTCAGAATATGGTGATTAAAGTAGAATAGTTCAATAGTTCAATGATTTATTTGGAAATAAATCCTAAAAGTTGCTAGTCATTATTAAAGGAATTAAAGGGTAAAATGATCATTTGACTTAGAAATGAATAAGATAATGATATATATGGGGATAAGGTTGAGAGATTTCTCTAGAAATCTCTTCACTCTTCTTTATTCATTCTTCATTCTTCTTCTTCTTCTCCAACGTGAAACACTCAAAGCAAAGGTGAGTTTTCTATTTAGTTGATTATTTGTTGATTTAAAGTTTGGGTTTTGATCAGTAGATGATAACTAAGCTTAAGGAAAGCTTAAGTTATCTTAAAATCAAAAGATAAAATAGTTATGAAAGATTAAAGAAAATGGGTTTCAAAGTGAAATTTTGAATAAGTGTGTTTAAATGAATTTGGAGGTTGATTTTGACTTGTCATCTATGAGAATAATAAATTATAAGTGTTAGAAATAAGTGTTGGAATGATAAAAATTAGTTAAAGTTGTTATAGATGAGTTTATTAGCATAATAAGGGTTGTATACATGAAAATTTGGGTGAAGTATTGATGAAATTCAGGTGAAAATAGTCTATTTTGGACAGGTGCACCGATACACTATGAATGGGTACCGATGCACTAAGACAATTTTGAAGGTGTATCGATGCATTAAGGGGTGCATCGATGCTTGGAAATTTCAAAGTTATTTTGGGTACCGATGCACCCATAGTGCATCGGTACACTCCTAAAGGAAAAGCTGAAGTATGGTTTATTAAATTTGTCTAAGTTATTAATACCAAGTTATAAGGTTTAGGCTTCTGATAATCATCTTGAAAATTATATTTATGTAGATACATAGCCTAAACGAATTCCGGAACAATCGAAGGATTAGGATTTATTCAAAGGAAGTAAAGCTAAGGTGAGTGCAATTTAATTTGTACTTATATTATTGAATAAACATTGGCTTGCGAAGAGCCAGTGACGGAGTTACTATGGTAAGAAGCGACTCCTTAAATGTTATTTGAATTTTGATTTACATGATGCTTATGTGTGTATGAATACATAAGTAAATGGAAATGAGTATATGTAATATGTGATACTGAATTTCATGAATAAAGGAAAATATGACATAAGTTATCTGGCATTGATACACGAAATATATATAAGTATGTACATGAATACATATATAAGTTTATATGCTATGTGATTATATGCTCATGTGATACATGTTATATGATATGAAATAAATGTTTACACATACATATGGTATGTGACAGAAGAAAAGAAATATGTGATTATAAGATCAATGATTATACGTACATGTGATACGTGACAAGAAAGAAGAGATATGTGTTTATAAGAGAAATGATATGAATAAGTGATGTTAATATGTGAATTGTTATAAATGATAATACTCATGTTATGTGATATGAGAGCTAGGGGTATAGTTGGCATGCCAAGGGTTGAGGGTTACCTATGTTATTCGGGACATATGGACTGTTTACCTATGTTATTCGGGACATATGGACTGTTTACCTAGGATCTTCGGAATCTATGGACTGGTCCTTCGGGACATTTATACGAGCTGTGGTGACAGCATAATTGTGCACAACCTCAATGTACTCACATACCTTAAGTTCTCAAAAGTATACATGGGCTAATACATGGTATTTAAAGAGAGTAAATAAATCAATTGATATGATACTATGTGTTCTCTGTTGTGAAATGATATATTTGTTCCATGGTATGTATAAAAATGTTCAATATATACTTATATGATAAAGAGGTGTTAAAAGTGTTTGCATTATTATATGTTATTATGTATACTGAATCCTAGGTGATATATTGGAATTCATAGATTGTATGTTTATATTTATGAGAAATGCATCATTATTATGTTTATGTCTCACTAAGTCTATGACTTAGCGTGTAAGTGATTTACACGTAGGTACTGAGAAGCAGGAGGATCAAAGCTAAGTTTAAAGTAACAACATATCTCTGCTCAAAGATCATATCAGAAGAACCTTAAACAATATGTATGTTTATGTGATATATGTGTTGGCATGTAAATAGAGTCGTTTAGTATGTATGCTCTGATCAACTTTTGTAATGTTTTAAACGTATAAATGTAAATGGTAAATGTATAGTAATGAACGGTTAAATTTTTACGAGTTTTATGTACGTTTTACGAAAGTTATTGTAGCAGTGCATCGATGCACTGTAGCAGTGCATCGATACACAATTTATATTCAAAATTTTTCACTGTGCATGGTACTGTTCACAGTACTGTCCATGCGTATAGTACTGTTCATAAATACATTTTTGCCTTAAATTTTTATAATGAAGTATAATTTAATAGTATTTTATGGTATTTTCTTAATATAAGTTCAAATGTTTTGTTACTTTGTAAAAATATTGTTTTAAAAAGTCAATGTGACATCTCGGACTCGTATCCGAGTCGTATACGGGTTGGGGTGTTACAAAACTAGGAGGGTTCAAAACTGTGTATATGTATTTTTGGGTAATATCAGGTATTCAGGATATCCGAATATCAAAATGTCGGCTTATGTCTCTATTCATTAAATTCGGGTACTCTTAAATTAGGTATCTGTAAAATCTAAATACCCACTTTTTCATGTAATGAGTATTCAATTTATATTTTTTAATTAAATTATTTTTTAAAACACATAAAATATTTTAAAATTTAAAGATCTATAATACATAATTCGCTAATTAGATTTTAAATTTTAAAGTATATATTCAAAGATTAAACTTATTAGAAATACAATTAAATAAATACACTTAAATTTAAAATAAAAAAATAATTAGAGAAATAATTTAAATCGTTAACATATTCAAAGATAAAACTTATTAGAAATACAATTAAATAAATACACTTAAATTTAAAATAAAAAATAATTTGAGAAACAATTTAAATCGTTAACGTGAAACAATATAAGAAATTAATAATTTAAAATATTATTGTGAAACAATTTAAGAAAATAAGAATTTAGAATGTTAGGATCAAACAGTTTGAGAATTAAGAATAAAAATCTAATAAAAAAATTAAAAGTAAAAAAATATTTAAAAAATCGGATACCGGCTTGCAGGTATCCAGTTAAGTGTTATTTTATAACCTGAACCCAATCCAAAAACCAGTCAAAAGTAAAAGGTCGGTTACCTGACCCGAAGATTTAGGTATTTTTACTGTAAATACCTGATAATTTTAGGCCATATCAACAAATTAACGGGCCGAATCATCTGATCTGGTATTTTTGAACAGTCCTACTTAAATCCCCCTATCCGTTAATTTTCAAAACACCAATTACTTCAAATCGAAATCAATAAAAATCTCAGATTGAGTAGTACTTGAGAGATCAAATCAAAGTCCAGAATCTACAGAAAGCAAATTCTCAGATTGATTCGTCAAAAACCTATTGTGAGTTAGTTTTGTTTCTTAAACCCCTTTTACAGTTTCTTCTTTCAGTGTTTGTTTAATTTCTTGATGAAGTTATAATTTTTTTTAAAACGAAGAGAAATATCTTGTATGATTTTAATGGTAGAAAGAGATGAGAGTAATTTGTTTATTGAAATTTAGCGGGTGAAATACATTTAAATGGAAAATCTTAATTTCGAAAAGGTCTGTTTGGTTGTTGAGGAATTCTGGTAAATGATCAAGGAAAATTCAAGATTGACCTATAAGTTTTCTATGGCCAAGATTTCTTTTCTTCCCCTTTCTGGGTTCTTTGTTTTTTTGGGGGGATTTTATGATCTAGGGTTTGTATAATTTCCCAAAGTGAAAGAAGTTCAAACAGAAAATGAAATTACTAAAATTAATTTGAACTTGTTTGAATTATTTTTCCTTTGGGACTCTCCACGAAATTAAATTTTGGGTTCTTCATGTTTGCTACATTTTTCTTTATGAACTGATAAATTGAGATTCTGGTTACATTTTCGTGTTAATTTGGAATAATCACCACTCTTTTCTGATGATTTTTATCTGGTTGTGGTTTTTTTCTTTAGTTTGTTTAGCTGTATGATACGCTTTGTGCTGTACTCTTTACACTATTTTAGTCAACATTTATGCTACTAGGGCTCGGGTGAGTCCCGGGGTCCAAATAATGAGTTCTTACTAGTAGATTATGTTGCAGGATATGGTGTTTTCCTCTTGCATTACACATTTGATTTTCTCCTTTGTCTCTTCACACCGTTTTTTTAATATCCTTTTTATGATCTGGATGTTGCTCGAGTTTCACACCTCTTACATTCTCAGACCTTGATTTTTGTTCCCCTTTTGGAGCACTGCACATCTCACAGGTATAATAAGAGGATTTGTTTCTGTCCGTAATTTGCTTGGATGGCATTGCGTACTGTTGGTTTGATTCGAGATCAGAATATAAATGTTCACTACAATGGTACAATTCCCAAAACTTTCTGTTCCGTTTTTAGATTTTGTTTTTAGGTTGAATTTGATAACTGAAAGTGCAATCTCCAGGAGCTTCTGTTACAAGCAAGGAAAATATGGCTACTGCACCGAGGAAAGGTGGTATCGGTGGAAGGAAACCACTTAGTGATCTACAAAACTCAGTGAACTGGATGACATTGAACAAGGAGAACTCTAAAATCCTTTCTTTCACTGAGAAAGAGACCACCGTCTCAAAACTCACACACGATTCAAGCAAGAAGAAGAGTGTCGACAAAGCCTTAGAGAAACCTCAAGTTGGTGGCCGGAAGGCTCTCTGTGACATTTCAAACTCGGGTAAGCCAAACTTGAAGGAGACATCAAAGAAGAGTCAAACCTCGAAGTTTACCATTTTGGCAGAGAATCCAATTGAACCCGAAGACATTGCGAAGGAAGGATTTCTACACAATCATGATGGATGTGTCAACGCTCAGAAAAAAACTATAAGCAATAACGAGTTCTTGCAGATACTTGGATTAGAAGGTACATATATTTGCTACATTTTCAGATGTCTATTATGATTTAGTTTCTGGATGAAGACTTACATTTTCATGAATGTTGTTTAGATTTCTCCAAACCGCCTGCATCTGCAAAGGGAACTCATATGCCAAATGAAATGGTTGGTTTTCATTTCATTTGTTTCCACCCAGTTAGTTGTTTGTTTATATGTATAACGAAATGGTCGGTTTTGGCATCGACTAGCCTTGGCATTCAGACTGTCTTAATGAATACTGATTTATTAATTCTGTTACAGCCCATGAGTCCTTTGAGGAACTTCGAGGCTAAAGAGATGACTGATCTGCTGATCGAAGATTGGTCTCCGCCGAAGCATAAAATGTCGACAAAACTCAACTCTGCTCCACCTAGTCCAGGGCCAATGGACTGTTCTATGCACTGGAACGATCTCACATTTGAGTTGATCGGATCACCATGATGGGTGAAAGCATTGTTTTCTTTGCTTCTTTGCGAAAAAACCCTTGTATGTTGGTGGACCGCAGTTATTTTGGTAATAAGTAAAATCTGGCAACTTACTTTGGCTGTTATTTCCGTATTTAGTTGAATCGTGTGCTACATTTTACATTCGTTTAGGGATGACAATAGAATGAGAGGGTCGAAATTTACCTTGTTCACCTTTGGTTTTTTACTCTGGCATTGCTGAAAATATCTATCTCACTAACGTAGCATGATGTACTTTACAGTTTACAAATGGTTTTTGATTTGATATTTGGTAGTGGTGTGTTGATCTCTCTAGAGATCTCGGGTTTGAACAGCTATATTTGTAGGTACGTGCACGTTATCAATGATAACCCTCCATTTACAGAAAATGAATGATTTTTTGAAGGATGGTTGATGTTTCGTCATCCCTACTTGTTATAGATAGATGGGTTAACGGGTGTAAATGATCTATGGATTAAAAATCAAATTGATCGATAACGTAAGAGACTGAAATCATATTTTTTTCTAAAATGGGACCAAAATCAAACAGGCAGAAAATGTAAGAGACAATCCGTATAATTTACCCTTGATATTTTTAGTGAAAAGAATATTAGATTTGCATTCGGGAGGTTAAAGAGAGTGAATCAAAAAAATTTAAGATCTAATAGTCATCGACGACGACAATTGGTGATGGCTCAATGATGACCAGCAACTATGATGATTGACGGTCAACAATATAAATTGATTAAATTTAGGGATTAAATTAATATTTTGTATAAAATTTATGGGTAAAAAACATATTTCATGTAAATTTTAGATAAATATAAAATTTAAGATCATGTTTATATTTATCTAAAATTTGAGAATTAAATTAATATTTTACTGTTTTTATAACGACTACATCAATATAAAACGAACCGAAAATAAAAGGTAAATTATACGGATGATTTTTATATTTTTGATATAACCGATTTTAGTCACCGTTTTTTAACAAGTGTGTGTAAACCTAATAATGGTACGGCGGTTAAGGGGAAGTGCTACCGTATGGTAACTTTAATATATGGTTAAGGAAATACGTTATCGAAAATTTTATTAATTTTTTAACATTTCTAGTAAAAAAATTACGTAAAACATTATTATTTTTTATCTAAAACATTAATGTTTTTTAACATTTCCAGTAAAATGCCTAATATTAACATTTTCGGTAGAAAAAAAATAATGTTTTAGGTAGCGTTTTATCATATATGTTAACAAACCCGATAAAACACCTAAAAATATTTTCGGTAGAAATAATAATGCTTTCAGTAATTTTTTACCAGAAATGTTAAAAAAATAATAACATTTTCGATAACACCTTTTCTTAACCGTATATTAGGTGGCCGCACGTGAGACTTTCCTGTCCGGTAGAAAAAATAATGTTTTATGTAGATTTTTACTAGATATGTTAACAAACCCGATAAAACATCCAATAATATTTCCGGTAGAAATAATAATATTTTCGATAATTTTTTATCAGAAATATTAAAAAAATAATAATATTTTTTATAACACTTTTTCTTAATCGTATATTAAGTGACCGCACGTGAAACTTTCCTGTCGATTAAACCACTGATATGAAGTCATGATATCTTTTGTTTCAATATGACTTTGTGAAAATTACTGCAAAAATATAGAAAGCACTTAAAAGATGTCCATTTACTTTTCAATATTAATCTGACATGTCCATTAGATGTGATTTTTCATGAGTATTAACTCAGGTAGTTCTGTATTACGATAATTTAATATAAAATTAAAGAAAGATGTTATAAAAATATTAATGTTTTTTTAATATTTTTGATATAGCGTTATTTAAAATATTATTTTTTTATCGTAAATGTTAATTTAGTTACTTAAAATGAATATTTTTTATATTAATATTTTTGATATAAAATAACATTTTAAGTAATATTTAATCAAAAATATTAAAAAATATTAACATTTTCGATAACGTATTTTCTTAACATTATATTAAGTTTATTTACTTAGAAATCCTCATTAACTCATACAAGAACCAAGTATCATGTTATTGAAAGATAGGACACAAGTGCACACATAAACATGTTAAATAAAAGGATAAATTACAGATTTTTATACTTAAACTATTATCTTTATCTCATTTTAGTATTTAAACTTTTATTTTTATCAAAATCGTACGTAACATCTACATTTTGTTTCGATATGATACCTTGTCGTTAAAAACTTAACGAAACCATTGTAAGTGATACTTTTTTATGGGTAAATTACATCATTTATCACTTAACTATCTTCTCGCCCATAATTGTACTTTTTATTCAAGCTGCAGCCAAGGTAAACTCACAAAGTTAGAAACCTGCTACAGCTGGTGATGAATATATGGATCCAACAGTATAGTTTAACAATTGCTATGGCATTTACTTTGAATAATGAGTGAATGAAAAATATCATAAGGATTTCATTGAAATTCTTAGACATAATATTAACACAACCTTTTCTTGTCCGCAATTCCATGAAAATAGGTTGAAATTTCTTGCAAGCAGAGGTAAAAAATCTATATCCTCGTAAGTTATTTGCATCGATGTCTGTCATTAAATATATAATGGTGTTGTGTCCTTTTTTATTAATATTTAATTATGACATGTACTATTTAAATTAAAAATTTTAGATTCTCATCTCATCTCAAATCTTAATCTTGAATATTCAAAACCCACTTCTCCCCCTCTTTTTTCTTTTCCATTGTCTTGTGATAGTTATTCTTCAATCGACGAGTAGTTCTGCGATTTAACCTAAAATTTCTCAAAAATTTCCATTGTTCAAGTATTTTCCCAAAATTTCTACTTCCCATTACCAAAACTAGTCGTTGTTGTTAAGCCGCCAATATCTGTGTTATTATTAATTTTCCCTTTTTCGTATTACATATTTCTTTCTATCCAAGTATTTCCTCAAGATTTTTATTTTTATAATCCAATTCAATTTTATTTCAAATTTTTTTTCCTTCAAAAATCAAACAAATTTATCAGATTTAATTACATTTTAGATCCTCAAACTATAACTCTTATTTCAAATTGGTCCCTAGACATTTAAACATTTTAATTTCATCATTAAACTATGACTCATTTAATAGGGTAAATTACTTAATCCATCACTCAATTTTCTTCTCACTCTTATTTTAATCACTCTAGTTTAAAATTTTCAATTTAATAATTAAACTGTACACATTAAATTTTTTTAGTCATTTATCAAGATTTTCAATAATAGCTCAATGGCATGACTTATTTTATTAATATATAGTAGTGATGTGTCCTTTTTATTAATATTTAATTATTACATGTACAACAACAACAACAACAACAAAACCCAATTCCCATATGCAATGGGGTAAGGGGGAGGTAGGGTAGTAGGCTGCCCCCAACACCAGGTTGAGAGTAGCTTCCGTGGAAGACCTCTGGCAGTCAAAAAATTAAAAATATAGATAAAATGCAATGCATGTATAAATAAATACATAAATACATAGTTGAACAATATTCATATGCAGTCATTAATATCATTAATATCATATGCGCGTCTTTACTGGGCATATATCCCTAAAAAAAATCCCTGCGAAAAAATCTCTGTATATAGACAGAAACGTAAGACCCGACTAAATTTAAAAGATGAGAGAATGATACACAGAAGTCAAACGATAGCAAGCCCAGTTCTAAGCCTTCATAAATACCAATAACAGAAACGAATAAAAATAGAAGTCATGGAAATTACTACAAAGGCATTAAAAGAAGACAAAGATGATACACCCTAGAGATGTGACCCACACTACTCGACTATTCTAGTTTTAAGTCTCCATACTTTCCTATCAGAGGTCATGTCCTCGGTAAGGGCTAAATCAATCAAATCAGATCTCAAGCAGTCTTCCCACTTTCGCCTTGGTCGTTCTCTCCTTCTGGCACCGTCGACTGTAATCGACTCTACCCTCCTGACCGCATCAGACGGTAGTCGCCTAAGGACATGCCCAAACCACCGTAGTCTTCCTTCCATCAATTTTTTGGAAACATACACCACCCCCAAGGACATCCTAATAGCAGAGTTTGTTGTCATATCCCACAGAGTCCTACCGCATGTCCATCGAAGCATTCTCATTTCTGCGGTCTCTATCCTCCTTACATGATCCTTCTTGGTTGCCCAACATTCTGATTCATACAACAGCGCTGGTCTTATTGCCATTCTATAAAATTTTCCCTTAAGTTTTAGAGGCACCTTCTTGTCACACAAAACTCCAGTAGCGGACCTCCACTTTAGCCATCCCGCCTTTATACGGTGTGTAACGTCATCATCTACACCCCATATTTATGTATCATAGACCCTAGGTACTTGAAACAATCCTTTGAGGGGAGAACGTGTCCTTCTATGCATACTTCTACATCTTCTTCGTTTTGGTCCCTACTGAAGTTTGAACATAAATACTATGTCTTATCAATATTGATCCTTAGACCTTTTTCTTCCAAAGCAGTCTTCCAGGTAGTCAGTCTACTATTCAACTCAGATTTTGTTTCAGCAACTAGGACAATGTCGTCAGCGAAAAGCATACACCATGGTACACCGTCTGGTGTCGCACAATAGATGTCGTCCATAATCAAGGCGAAGATGTAAGGGCTAAGAGCCGACCCCTGGTGGAGTCCGATTTCCACCGGAAATGCCTCGGTGTCGCCAACTGTAGTCCTGACGTATGTAGTATATCTACAAAACATATCACGAATCGCCCGGATATAAATAGTTAGGATCCGTCTCGTTTCCAAAGTCTTCCAGATCGTATTGCGGGGAACGCTATCATAAGCCTTCTCAAGGTCAATGAACGCCATGTGAAGATCTCTAGACTTTTCCCTATATTTCTCCATAAGTCGTCGAAGTAGATGAATCGCCTCTGTGGTAGACCTGCCTGGCATAAAGCCGAATTGGTTTTCCGAAACCCTAGTAACTTGTCTCAACCTAACCTCTATCACCCTTTCCCATAGCTTCATGGTATGGCTGAGTAGTTTAATACCTCTGTAGTTACCACAACGTTGGGGATCTCCTTTATTCTTATAGATTGGTATCACCGTGGACTAATAATAATTTTTTAAATTCTCCTCTCAAACCCTAATTCCAAACCTAAGTCATCATTGGCACCCCTCTTCCCCTCTTTCTTCTCTTCAATTGTCTAATGATAGTTACTCTTTGATCAATGGGTATTTCCACGATTCAACCTAAAATTTAAGGTTAAAAGACGGCGGAAATCGGACGCAATTGAAAATATTATAAAAAAAAAACATAACATTTGATGTGTACTGACCTTAAGCTCTTGAATTCAACATTACTAGCCTTAAATCCAAGTTGTTAGCCTTTTTTCATGAAGACGTGGAGTACAATCCATGAACACAACCCCGGATTAATTACCCTCAATATCAAAATAATTCACCAATTATTAAATAATAATTTAAAGGACCCAATTGATAATATTGAAAGCTAATAGGCCAAAGATAACATCTAATTTGTGTAATTAAGGACTAAATTGAATAATGAGGGTTGAGAGTGAAATTATCTCATTAAGACTATAAAATGTGGATTCTCAATTGGACGGATCAAATCACAAATCAAGTCATGAGTTTGACGTCAAAATGACATTATTTGAAGCTATCTATACAGCCTCAAAAGTCAAAACTAAATAGAATATAAACCCCTTCACCTTATCTTGACTTTGATCTTGTTAATACGAAGGTCAACCTATCAAGTCAATGATCTTAAATTTAGGTTTGGTGGTTGCATCATTATTTTTTAAAACTATTATTATTAAATAATAAAGATAATACTCTAAACTTTTAAAAATATTAATTATTAGTATTTGAAATATATTTTTAATAATATATTATTATTATTTTAATACATAACTAATATAATTAATAATATTTATTATTTTAATAAAATATATTATTTTAATAATATAATAAATAGTTAGATGATCATTTTATAATATTTAATAATTGAGGGACTAAAAATAATAATATATTATAATTAGAGACCATTTGCATACTTTATCTTACAAATTAATTATTATTTAGGCGCTAAAGCTCCAAAACCCGTTGTCCTTTAAATTCTATATTATTCATCGCTTCCTTCCCAAATTTTATTTAAGGTTGTTTTTTCCACTAAAGTAAATTTCAGAAATTTATTTTCGTAAAATATTCTATTTTTTGAAAAGCATTTTACAGTATTTAGATGATATTATGTAAATTATTTTTTATCAATTAACTAATTTCCTAAAATTTATTTATTACAAATATTGAATGCAATAACTAATATTATTTATTATAAAAATATAATATTATTTTTAAAATATTAAAATAATGTATTCAATATTATTATTAAAATATACTTTTATAAATAAAAATATTAAGAATAGTATATTTAATTAACAAAATATTATAAATCATATTAATTATTTATGAAAATAAGAATACTATATTATATTATTAAGATAATAAATATTATTAATTATATTAATTATTTATTAAAATAAAAATATCATTATATTAAAAATTGTAATATTAAAATAAAATTGATCCAGGTCAACCTAGAAACCTTAAATTTAGCATCAATTGTATGAGATTCTTATATATTAGGATTACTTTTTATTCTAGTAATGTGATACTTTGGAAGCTGCTCTATAAGTCTTGACTATATGTATCAAGCTTTGAAGTTAGCTAAAATTTAAATTCGAGACCTAATCGGAAGAATTGTGAAGTCGAAGGGATTCAAATAGATTAAAGTATGACATTTAGAGGACTAATTTGAATGAAATTTAACACCTCAAATTGAACTTATAAAATCTAACAAGCTTGCGACTGCCAAGTTTTGTTAAACAAAATAAACTAAAATATTCAAGTTAAAACGATTCCACATAGAGCCCTTTTATTTTTGAAATAAAATTTACAAACTTGAATTAATACATTTTCAATTACAAATAACTTTAACCTCTAAATTTTATGATTTTTATTATTTTGATCCTAATTATTTTTGTTTAGAACTGATTTTTTTTTTAATTTTGACGATGGTATTCTAAAATTACTCTGGTCATAATTTTTAAATGTCAAATTGTAAATACTAAAACTGAGAAGGGCTAATATATACCAATAACAACGATTGCAGATATTGAACTTCAAATTTTAAACTGGAAGTAACATATTAATTGCATTAGTCAACTGAATTAAAAAGCAAAAATCACTTTAATTCACTTTTTTACGGCAATAATCCTTCCTATAATGATAAGCAATTCAACGCAGTTGTCCCTTTCTAAACATATTTAGATTTCCTTAATAGCGCCAAAGCAAGATTAAGATGCTTCAAGCTTCTTCCACAAATACAAAGCTCTTCTAATAATTGGATCAGCTGAGAATCCTTCTGCATATGCACTTATGGCATTCAAAAGGCTTGTGAATTTCTCACCATTGTCCTGCATTCAATAATACCATAATTTTCAGTTTTTGAAGTTGCTCCCATACTATATAGCATGCAACGTAAATAGTCCTCACCAAGGACATTCCTCCCGTATATCTAATATCTATGTTACTCAGACTCGGGTGTGAATGTTAGATACGTATTTGGTTAGATTTTTCAAGGTTTCCCATGTATTGAGGATCTTTGAAGGTTATATCCCCATATCCATATGTTGGACACAGGTACTTCAAGTAAATGCGAAGTCTGAGCAACATAGCCTAATATGTAATATTCAGGTGTCTGGTTTTATCTTTACAAACATCATATGCCAATCATAGCCCATTTTTTCACCAATCCGAGGGAGACCTTTGGCATGTGGGGATGTAATTCATTTGAAACTAAAATTGTCTACGAACCTCGGGTTTATTAAATGTGAGATCTCCGGTGGAAAATGGTACCATGTAGAATGGAAGATCACATCTCAGCATTGCCTACAATAACATCAAGTATGAGGATAGATAAAGACACTTGTTATCACTTCAAATTGTTGTTACCCACAAGAAGAAAGGACGGAAAGATTACCAAGTTCTTGCTTAAGACAGCTTGTTCAGCATTTTCTATCAAGGTCTGTAAAAAATAATACGTAACTTTGGTTTGCCAGTATATATAACAGAAAAGACAAAAGAGGAGACAAAGGGACCTTATTTCACATAAAAATAAAAAAGTTTAAAAAAACAACTCGTGCAGAAAATTCTCACATGGCTATAAATAGAAATCACACCCATTTCCTTCCACAACCCAAAAAGAGAATCCACCTCAATCAGAACAAAATATGTCTTGTTATGTTAAATACTAGAACCGAGTCTATTCGCAAACATAAGAGTTTCTAATTTAGCTAACAAGGAGATATCCCTTTTCTGGTAAGATGAGAAACTATTCACCATAATGCAGTATTATTGTCACTAAAAAAACTCAAAAAAGTCTAGTTTGATTAACCTCAAATCCTGAAAACAGAAGAAATTTAAGGCAAAAATTTGTAGGCAATAGATCACAAATGCAGATGAATTACCATAAAGAAAAATAGTTGGTGCTCAGTTCAGAATATCCATTTTTTTTTTGGTAATATTTCATAATGCTTTCCTATCTATAAACCTTTGAAATATATAATTATTTGGAACATGTTCTTTTATAAGGGAAAATTTTTATATCAATAACTAAATCACTATCAAACAGACCCTAAATTAATGAATGGTTTCTTGTAGCTTCAGCTTTAGGCTTTGCTTAGCATGAAGGACAGAAAGGAGCAACGATGACAAATTCATTAATCTAATCGTTCAAAGTAGGAAAGTGTTTATGAATCTTAACCATTTGATTAACAAATTTTCTATCCTCACTCGTTTCTATCCTTCATATGAAACAAAGCTAGAGAAGTAATTTCTTCTACTATGGCTAAACCTTAACCCATAAGATCCATGATTCTATAGTTTTAGAGCCATATTTAGGTTCAAAATTAGCAACAGATAACCAAAATGCTATCCCATATAACAAATCCTGAAAATGTGATGATTGAATAAACAGAAACTATATAATGAGGGCCAGTGCAAGTGAACCTAATTTGTAGGCCAGTTTAGGTAATTGTTGGGAAATAGGATGTCATATAATATATATATATATATATACACACAGTTGTATGTATATATGCATATTTATTAAAATCACAACCACACCAAGTCGTTGACTTGTGCTTATGCAGTTGGCCCGTCTCATTTTCAGTTCAGCTATATATAACATATATGACCACAACAATCTTTTAGTAGCATGCACGTTTTCATGTTATGTTCATCCTACTCTGATTATACCTTCCTGATGTGGTTTTCTTCAACCTGGTCAACGCACTTTAGTAAATTCTCCAATGTGCCTACACATAAAAGAAAACTCATAAACAAATACGAAAAAACACAGAGACTAGGGGAAATGTAACAGTGGTGTACAAAAGTGAAACCCCTAGCTAAAATTTAATGCACTTTGTATAAAATATTAGTAAACTAAAGCATAATGAATTCCACAAAATAATTCTTAATAAAACATAATTACAATCTCTTGAGCAATGATTCATATCACATATTCATTGAAACCAGTATTTTGGGATGATATATTACGAAATCCTATTGTGATAGTCATATGGATTCCAACATCACAAAAATGTCTGATACAATAATATTACTTCTTAACCTTTCTAAGGGATTAATAACAGTGAAATGGTAGTTTCTAAATCTGTACAATCTGAGCAACTGCTGGAACCAACACTTCACTCAAGCTTTCTGTAACTTGAGAAAGGATTACTCTTACATTTATAAATTGCAACTGTAATCCATTATTCCAAGTATCTTACTCATTACGTGTTGATAAATCTCTAATCTGGTAGTGCATATATATTTGCTATGTACATGCTACATCAGACATATGACAATGGTGTTGTACATCTTTCAATATTAAAACATTTCAATGCTAAGAGTAGTTGACCCCATTTTAGATGATAAGAATCTTAAAGCACATGTATTAAGTTTTCACTAGCTACACAGGCAACTTTTTTTTTCCTCATCTTTTCAATGGAACCAGGTAAAAGAATATTAAATTATTCGGGCAAGGGTTTATAAGTTTGTGAATCATGGTGATATTGCACAAGGCTTAGCCTAGTCTTGGTTTATTGGTGGCACAAGGCTTGCTGCGAGTCATGGGGATATTGCATCTCTTGTGATAGGTGTGTCATTCACAGGAAAGAAGGTACATACCATTCTCAGATGCTTAATAAATACAAATAAAATGAAGAACTCAAGTGGTTTTTACATATGGCAAAACCACTTTGTGAAACCCACGGAAAGGAATTACAAGTATAAAATTAGCAGAGAAATCCACCTAAACATCAAAAGTATCAAGGTTACTCAGACGATCTGGCCAACAGAACCTCCATAAATGACTTACTTAAACCATTACTCAAAACTACAACATACAGAATACTTTTCTAACCTATAAAACAGGGCCAATTTCCTTGCTTACATACAGGGTCAAATAAATTAATATTTTGTTTATTATTATTCCAGGATAACTAGAGTACTCATTAGTCTTCTATCAAAAAAAAAAAAAAGAGTACTCATTAGTAAAACATTTGACAGGGGCAGATTGTTTGATCTAATAGAAAAACAAGTGCAGCTTTTCTGTTCTTAACAATAACATACCAAACTTAGTGATCAATTGAACAGCATGGACATTTCCAATTCCATCAACTCCTGCACTTAAAAGGAAATGAAAAATCAATAATTTGAGGTACAATCTGATTTAAAAAGGAAGTTAATTAGGATGGAAAATTCCAAAGTAAAATCAAAGGTAATAAATGGATATGCATGTTAATCTTAACGTTGGAAGAACTCAATCTTCAAGTTAAAGTAATGTAGAAAAAAATATCAGGAAAAATGCAAGCCACTCCAACTCAATCTAAACAACACAATTGCAATGTGGCGCAGCTACTATACATGTTGCATCTGGAATTCCAGATATAAAATATTCAAGCCTCGTAAATACGAAAAGACAAAAGATGATGCAATCAGTTTCAGCTACTAATCATCTCTTTCAATTCACATCATGTTTCCACCACTATCAGATAAGTCAGACTTATGCTATGGATTTTGTATTTCTGGAAACCAACTTCTACATGTATTTCACTTGAGCCAGAGCAGTTAATAAACGATATGGACTTCATTTCACCTTTCTATACTTCCTGCACACTCTAATGCTAACTAGCTATCATGCTTTCACTTCAGGCATGATCATAATATAGGATCCAGCTGAACCAAAATAAATAGGACCTCCACTTCCAAATAAACAGAGAAGTCCTATCGAAAGACTCAAACACCAATGAACCTATGCTACTTATCTTTTCTATTGAATGACCGTGAAAAAGGATTTAAAAGTATGAAAAATGTCCATCAAATGTTTTCTAAAACAAAACATTCATATAGACCCACTTCCACCACTATCATGTTTCTACAATAATCAAGTTAAGTCTTAATCTGTCAGATACAATCGGAGAAGTGAATATGCTTATTTTTTGTTAATTACACTTGCCAATTTACTCTTACTTATACAAGATAACAGGTTTAACCAAGATCATTCCTAAATTAATTCCATGTTCTTGGAAAGACAAATTGACTTGACGGGTTCAATAAGTCATATTCCACACAGCGCATCATCTATTCCATTTGTTTTGTAATTATATACCAGCCAATCACCCCAAAATATAGTTCTCTTTAGTACAAAGCTACATGGTACCTCATGGTTTATAAAACCAAACCTCATTTTGGGAGTAAAAGCCTAACCATAGCTCCTCATATCCCTCATGTTTTTCAAGCTCTAATTACAAATCCTAGTTCTCACTTCTCACCAGTTATTTCTTAGTAACATCCTATTATCTATTTCCTACTTCATACTTACCACATCTCACTCCTCACGTCCAAGGTACGTCCCAATGAACCTCTCCATCCTCCCCACCTCGTATCACATATTCTGTATTCGTATTTCCACTCCCAAAAATAAAAGAATCATTCACATGAAACATAGCTCATACAACAGATGGTGCAAACTTGACAACAAACTTAAACAAGAAATGCTTGATATCACAAATTACTTTTAAACTTCAATGAGATGTATAAATAGAAAATGTGTAGCTTCTGCAGATGCCATGATAAAAGAACCAGGTTAACATATAAAAAATATTGCTCAAATCAATTTGTCGGTGTTTCTGCATGCTCTAAAGTAACTTAAAGAAATACTATAGAAACAGCTTGAGAGAATATGGTGAATATATTCTTTTTCTTATTTTACTGAGCATTTGAAACTAATTTTATGACAACCTGGAATATTGTCACATCTATCACCCACAAGAGAGACTACATCAACAAACTGAGAAGGTTTCAGATCTCCATATCTTTTTGAGAAATCCTCCAGTCCAAATGAAACCATCCTGATAAAGCAAAGCAATAAAAAGATTAGATCCTTGAGAACAAGCAAGAATATCTACAACAGAAAATCAAACAAACTTAGTTACTTAGGCAGAAGAAACCACCATAACCAACATCTAAAAGTTTCACAATTTTGAACATACCAGTAAATACGAGATCCAATTCTCAATTCAATTACATACTAACCATCAAATCATAAATCTACACAACTGACAGAAATAAGGTGTGTAATATAGAGAAACCTACTCTATAATGAATATCATGCAAGTAAAATAAGTACTTGGAAAAAGACGATAGTGGTACGCATCTAATTTTACTATTATAAACCCAAATAGCTCTGGTCTCAAATGAAGTATCTTGATATGACTGTAATTTCCTAACTATTTTTCAGCAAATCATTAGTTTATTACTTTTAACATCGTCATAACCTTAAACTTTTTTATTTTTTTTATAAGAAAGGGAGGTCTCATTAAAACCCCCCTTCATATCCGTCGAAATACCAAAAGGGTATCTCAACGAACATTAGAAGGAGGAAAAGAGTACCTCAAAATTTTAGTAAATAAAACTTTATTCAAAATAAAACACCTAAGTACAGCAAAGAGTACAAGCAGCCAAAGTAGGAACAAATACCAACTCAACAACAAAGACAAACAACAAAACCAAAACAGTAGGACTAAAACTAAACCCAATTAACCAATTCCCAAGTAAGCTAACTTGTCAGCTTCCCAATTTGCATTTCTCTGAATTAGTCTAACAATCACATTGCAGTCCAACACAACCGTTAAAATGAAAGTGGAAAAAAATGAAAAAAAGATTCTTTGGATATTACACCGTAAAACTTATATTTTAACTGTCCTGAATTGGTAACTTCCACTGTGTTTAATAGGAAAATAGTCAAATGAGAAGGGTAAGCCTAATCTATCAATATCCATGAATTCAGATACTGCACTCGGAGGAGTGACAATTAATAAAACCATGCATACATAAAAAATGACGGACAACTTAGAAAATCTCCAGATGAAATTACATATACTGGACCAAAAGACTGGCTTTGGGATATTCAAACATATGAACAGTACAATTTTGTACAAATGAAACAGATACACATGAAAAATGTGTATTATGCATGCAAAGAAAAAATCAAGCTGCCTACTCTATGAAAAGCAAGGATTTTATTACCCATTTTCAATTGAGGTTAAGAATGATAATGCATTAAAGAATGTATACTAACTCATATCCACGTGGTGCAATTCGTAGTAGGCGTAATGAAGGACATAGGATCTGAAAGAAATCTTTGTCGGGGGAAACAACTCGAACCTGTCAGGAAAAAAGTTAAAACCCAAAGCACCTGATCAGAAGGAGAAAGTGATAAAAACAATTAGTATTATACAAAAGTAACATTCTGAGTCCTTGTGGGATAAACAATAATTAATAGAAAATCTTAATAAAATGATTTTTTAGGTTGCATAATACTTAGTCAAATCTTATGAGCTCACTTCTCTAGAAAAACTGACATCCATCACTTTGTCCCGGCTATCTATAGGATAACTACTTTCTTCCTATTCCATTGTGATGAAGCTTTACCTCTTCCTCGCACATAGATGGGCAAAGACATTAGACAAAAGGAAATTTTGTCATTGATATTGTCTCATTAAACATTCCAGCCATTTAAAAATGTTATTACTTGATTGGCATTAATTGAGTACATATCTTAAAGAGGTAGTTTGAAATGCTTAATTTTTTAATTTACATCATGAATGTAATTCTATTTTTTGTACTGAACATACTTTGATACCATAAACCATTGATGCATAGATTGTTCGAGTGAAATCTGAGTTCCTTTTTATTTCATATGCACCTTCAAAAAGAAAATTTTGGATTTGCCCCTGAAGATGACCCAAAACATCTCCAATTATTTTAATCAACATACCTCCACCAATATAAGCCATTAGCAGACTAATACTAATTATCAAGTAAACAGAAAGTCAAAAAGAGACAGACAACTTCAAACTTTTGAAAAAGTAAACTCTCACATAGCTCCAACACCACGTAATATTTTGTCTTTCCCTGGTTAGCATAAGAGAAGCGTGTTCAATTAAATGGGTAGCTGATTTTGATACTGTAAGTTCTTTTTTATCACAACTTTTATTAGTAAATGTGATATAACAATATAAATTGAGCTCCGAACTGTCACATGTGAAAGTAACTCTGAACTAGTAAAATCTCTTTTGCTCCAAACAAAGCCAAAAGTTAGTGAACAACGTCAAAGGGCGTACTCGTTTTTTCCCAATGAAAACTAAAGAAAATTACCTTAAACCCTGCATCAACACTCCTTGCAGCCAGTGTTCCAATCACGTCATCAGCTTCTACCCCAGGTACCTGCCTTAGATTAAAATTCTTAATTTCTAGCAACACAGCACATGGATCAACCCAATAATAAGCATCTCTGGTGTCAAATGATTTACCTCAATCACCTTAATGGACAGAGCTTTGATGGATGCCTTCAAATATTGAAGTCCCTGAACTATGGTATCAGGTGTAGGAGGGCGGTTGCTCTTGTATGAAGGGAACATAGTATGACGAAAATTTAAACCTTCAAAAAAATTCAAGAGTATATTTTAGACATTAATTCAGATAAAATATGTATATTTCCAGCCAAAATGGTGACATAATACAATTTATTCTTCTTTACATGCAAATGCTACAGTTAATACTTAAAATCCAAATAGACTTAACAAGAGCCAACTGAATCAATGCAAAGGGGAAAAGGGACCAAATTGCAGGCCTCTAAAAATAGATACAACAAAGATATAAAGTATTGAAGCCAACAAACAAATAGGAAAATATTTTATATCAGTTAATGCTTCTCATAGAAAATAAATCCATGTATAAAACTAGAGATACAATTAGAAAAAGGCTCGCCCAGAACCACTTGAGGCCTAAAAGTTATTGACCAAGAGGACGGTAGCTTAGAAAGGCAAATCAAGCGACTTAGCTTTGGGTCTCTACAGAAGCTCATTTATTGTCCAAGTGGGTAGAGGCTGTCATTTGAACAGAGATTGAAGAAGGATTAATGGGGCACTATATAAAATGCAATAACACACAATCAAGATATCTACAGCTATGCCTAAACTTGATCAATGACCCTAATCAACCTAAGCAAAGATTTTTCTGTCTGTTCATCTCATTCAAAAAATCGATAGCTCTTCAAGTCTTTCTCCAAGTCAGTCATAGCAATCTTCAATTATAAAAAACACTGAATTCTGATGAAATGAAATCTCCTAAATACAGAAGTTAAGGCCATCGTAGTATTGCCCGTAATGTTTTGCTTCCTGAATAACTACAATTAAATATACTACTAGTTCTTTGATGAAAAAACAGGTATAGAAGCAAGGAACCTGTAAAAAGATAACAGCACACATTGGAAACGAGCTTTCCCATGATTTACCTGCTAGTGTAGCAGAAACAGAAACGATAGCAAAAGCAACTAACAGGACTTTTAATGCAGAAGATATCAAGAGCAAGGAAGTCACTAGAGTGGCATTATTGGCATTTATATTTGAAAACAAAAAGAAAAGTGGGGTTTATTATCCTGTATAGTCAAGAAAATTCCAGAAGACGTGTTATCCTATTATATTCTTCATTCATTTCTGTTGATGCAAGGGGTATAATACGCATATTGGAGTTCAAAATTCCTTAACGCAAATAAAGCACATGCAAACACCCTCCCAATCTGAAAGAAGCAAGAATGTAAAGATCTGCTCTTCTATTTTTACATGGAAGAACTGGCCTTTGGTACTATTTATACACACATGTAATGTGTGTGTGCACTTGTGCATACACGTGTATACACACACATGGCTTCACCTTAATTATCCAGTTCTACCAACTCATACTATTCCAAATTTTCTGATTGATTTCTTAGAGATAGTCTACTACAGCAACTTGACCACACAATAGAATAAAATTGCATCAAAAAGCATACCTTTCCCCATGACATTTTCTTTTGAAGAAAAAGATGTATGACCAAATGGAATTCCTGAAAAGAAGAGGTCCTTTTTATTAAAAATAATTGCTGGAAGGAAGAGCTTCAGATTCCATGGAAGTCCATGCTGCTGATTACAAAAGGGATTACCAGACTAGATGACCCTATCCAGCACATAAAGAGCATAAATCCCCCAAAAATAAAACTAAAGTTGATGCATAGCAATCCAAGACAGTTTCAAATAGCATCAAAAGGTTTATTCAGATCATATAGGGCATCTTAAAGATGCTACAGAGGTCATAGTAAAACTTCAATGAACAAGAGTATCAGATTTCATTAATATCCTTAAACAATATTTTGTGCACAAACAGAAAACTTTTGTCTTATACAAAATTTCTACTTTTTGTAAATCATAAGTTCAATTAACTTCAACATTTGCAAGTATTTCTCAGGCGACAAAGCTTAGGTTGGAAAGAGTTTCAGCTCTTCATACAAAGACTTTTTAAATTAAACTAAAGAACTTTTACACTACATATGAAATAATCAGTCAAAGGCTTTTTCACATTTAAATGAGCTTATAGACACAAAAACTAGCTCAAAAAATATAATGTTTGCTCAATAGTGAAAAGCAAAGAACTAATGGGGGCTTTCAAGCAAAAACGTGAGTGAATGATTTCATGCTAAAAGGTGAAAGAGAGGGAGTGTGAGCGAACTGAGAGACTGAGATAACCTTTTTGAACTAGAACTATACTTACATAACACCTTGCACCAATGACTTGGAACAAGCATAAGAACTAAACAAACCTGACCAACAATCAATAAAAGAACAAATTTGAAAACTTAATTTCCCCAACGCATCAAAGATTAGTCAGAGTTTCTAAACAGACTACATCTCCAAGTAGCCCAGAGTCTGAAATTTAGAACAAGCTGCATGCTTATGTAGATGTATGTATTAAAGCATGGTAGATACATGGAGAAAAATATATACAATTAGACAAAATTAACAGCCTACAACGTGTGAAACTGATAATTTCTATTCAGTTTATTGCAATATTCAGATCCGAGTACAAGAAGTTTTTTACAGACTTGGTATAAAGAAGTTGAGTTAGATAAGGACTCCTTTTTTATTTATTTTTAATCTAGGGTGATTACAAGATAGTATCGGTTCTAAAGATTCTCAACAATTGGATATGAAAGCTCAACACCCTTGCAATCTCTGCTGCTCGAACCTGGGACTTCTAGGGATAACAACCATCCCTTTAACCACTAAGAGGATAGAATTTTATCTTAATCTAATATCTATACAAACTTTGAACTACTAAATGGATAGAACTTAACCTAATATCTATACAAGAGTTATACTAGGACTAAACCACTTATTTCCAAATAAATATCTTACATGTTATTCAAAATCGAGACTGCTTTGAAGGTGATTATTTATTAAGAGAAACTAAGTTTATCTGGTACACTTTTTGTGAATAGGACTAAGTTTGTTGTGAGAGAAGGTTGTTAGGATCAGGCTTTGTAATATTGTTCTGTCAATTAAATTCAGAGGCACTCTTTCCCACCTTCCAATGTCCTTCATGTTATTGATGTAACATGAAGGTTATGAAGGGGGGTTTTAATGAGGCCTACTTACATTTTCTATCAAAAAGTTTATCAGGTACTTTAGAAGTGATGGATGAAAAAACAATGCACAAACCTACTGCATAACTAAAAGAAAAATGAATTGTTGAGGATTCTCCTAACCAAAATCTTCCAAGAGAGACACTGCACTAGACAATATATTTCTATTAAACTATGAAAATTACGAATTTCAGAGTCGCCATAGGAAATATTGGCATCCATTGCAACAGGAAGGGGAAAAAACGTTCCATGGAGAAATAAATGCTAATAAAGAAAGTATAACCGATACTTTACATATGGTGGTCAGCATAAACTCGTGCCTTAAAGGCTCAAAATAAAAAGAAAAGAAAAAGGCCTCAACTTTTGAACAGAACCTGAAAAACTAAACAAGGATTTTATATCACACCCCGAAAAGAAGAATAAAAGAAAAGAAAAGAAAAAGAAGCAGGTAAAGTTAACAGCAGGCATAGGTGCATATCAAAGAGTTTGACCTAAATGTTTATACTAAGGATGGGCAACAGGATTAGTTAGGGCACTGAACATATCTTATGTCGAAATACTAATGAATATAGTATTGTCCAATAGGTCCATGGAACCTATGATTTAGATTGTTTGGATTTGGGTTCCTAAATGAAGGGAAGAAAAGGACCTAGTGTAAGAGAATTAAAAATACACGAATTAGATGAAAGCTCTTGGATTCTTCCCTGCTCCATTTGATTTAGCCCTGAATGAAACTCCAAGCACAAAAATGTCGCACATTTTTTTATCTATATATCATGAAATAAAAACAGCAAAATGCACTGTTTTATCATAATATTGGATTTTTCAATACTAGTAGTAACTCTTTTGGTTGGGTTTCTACTTTTTATGTTTAACTTTGTCCAATTTGATTAGTCCAGTTTAGGCTTCTTCCCATGACCTTAACATTAACACTCCTTCCGGCAATGGGAGTGCATATGAAACAAAAGTGGAGTATGGAAAATATTCCCTAGAGCACCAGGAGCCTTACCAGTTAAAATCAGTTTCATTTAGAAACCATTTCCAAAATCTTAAAGGTTTATTTAAATAATAACATTGCATATAAGGATTATGAATTAAATAATATAAGGAAAAATAAGATTACTGAATTTTAAATCTCACCATCATGGTCAAACACAACCTGCATGAGAAAGGGGGAACTTGTAAGGAACACTATGTAATTGGAATATTATACAGTTATAAAAAGTAAAGTGAAAATGAAAAAAAAAACACCTGCAATGACAACCTATAAAATCATAGTAAGGAATACCTATGGACAGCCTAGAACAAAGCCATAGAATTTTTTTCCAGCAATACAGCTTACAAGACAACACATATTATGCAATGAACAACTTTCCAAGAGTGAGAGTTATTGAATAGTCGACACAGATTCTCCATAATACATGTGTTAACTTCGGGGGGAAAATCATAAAGCTCGTTACTTTACATTCCTTGTTTTTCAGTTGCCTTATGGGTCAGTAATCAGTTTAAGATGTTTGTATTAAAAAATTAAGGAGCTTCATTTGAAGAATAAGTTTTCCATTTAGCTTTTTCCTTTTCCAGAGAAGGAATACTATACATTTTTAGTTATACAAGCTCTGAAGGGAATCTTAATGCCAGTATCCAACAGAAAACTGTAACTAAATTAACTCATCAAACCAGCTAAACCTATAGATGAATGTCAGAGCAAAATGAGTATTTCCTAGTTTTCTACCTAATTAAATGCAATAGGTATACTGAAATGATAGATCAGCAGCTACTTAAGTTTAGTTTTTGACAGGATAATAATATACAAACAAGCCTTGCATGTTAGTAAAATAGTCAATCCAAAAAACAAACCAGATTAATCATTAAACCAACAAATTAAGTTATTGGTGATTGATATATTATAAAATGATTAATCTGCCCATTTGGTTCAGCTCTGCAATTAAAACAAACCAGATTAATCATTAAACCCCATGAAGGCAAGTTTTAATTGCAGAGCTGAACCAAATGGGCAGATTTCAACTTTAAGATCGAATATCAATTGGGTGGGGTTGAAAATACTTTGTTTCACAAAAATTCACAGTGCCCCCCTTCCTTTAACCAAGTAATTTGCTATTCCCTTATAAATATGGCCCAAAAAGACAGACATTATAATCAAAAGTCACATTTATCAGCTTCAGGCATTTTCAGTCACAATAAATATGGTCTTAGAAATGCTTTGTATTTATACCAATGTCTTTAATGCCTTCCTATCCACAACGTCAAACTCAGGTTGTTTCAATAAATTCCAAATTCTAATACAACATTTATATCAGCAAGATGCTTTGCAGAGAATCTGGACAATGGTGAAGTAAACATACTAGCATCTCTAAAAGTATTATTGAGAAAGACCAAAAGAAGCCAAAAAACATAAAATATAAAGCATACATACCGCTACATGTGAAGGAACAAATTCCAGAACATCAATTATCTGCAAGTTAACAACAATTAGAAATGCCTTAACCTATATATATATATATATATATATATATATATATATATATATATATATATATATATATATATATAATTGAAAATAATATATTTAAAGATTCTCAACAAGAATATAGAAATTTCAAGATTTTTGTTACTTTACAAACAATAGGAATCATGCCACTTCTAATAGTTTATCAAAGAATCAAGTAGTATTGTTACGAAAATAATGCATGATTAGCAATTAAATAATTCCACCATGTAATCTGTTAACAATGATAAGCAAAAAATGATAGCAGCAAACAAGAGACTACATCAAAAGAATGCTTTCAGCATAAATACAATAGAAAGAGAAGCAGAGTAGTTCCATTAATTATACCTATAAAACTTACAAGTGATAAAGCTGTAAATATAGTTAACACCCAGTCACCATTGCCATCAGCATGCGATAGGTACCCGTGATGCAGTTTCGCTATTCCCAACCATACATGAAGACGTGGGGGAAAATAAAATAGAAAGTAAAATCAGTGCAAGTAACATATGACTATGAGGCACATGATGGAGAGAAAAATAACTTGTATAAGAAATTTATAGGACACAGTTTTAGGCACATAGAAGCATAGCTATATTGGAAGGTAGCTACTATGACTAATCCACATTTAGGAAACAAATTATATGTTTATGCCTTTTTTTTGTTCCTTTTAATTTAAGAAACAATTTACCAATTGACATAAAAAATGAAAAGCAGGCAGCAGCAAAGAAACACCTAAAACTAGCATCAGAAAAGAAGAAAACAAAAGGAACAACACTTTAATCTGATAAAAATAAAAACCTTTTGCAGAAAACGAAAACCATTAGCAACATGAGTTACCTAGAAGTTTGTAGTAGGCCCTATAAATGACTGATGTGCCATCAATAAGCATTACTCTACCATTAGAGGGATTAGCATTCACCACATTTTCTCGAAGGTTGGCTCTGCCTAGAGCTGAATCTTGGTGAAATTTTGGTTCCTTCTTTGCAGAAATCACTGCATTCCCATGGGAAATTGCATGAAGATCATCAGGTAAAGTAGAATTTATGTTTCCAGATAAATTGCAGTACCCCTGTCAATGAAGTACATTAATAACATCAGGCAATAGTTACATAATCTCTGTATAATACTACAAGGGATATGAATAATATCTTCCAACATAAAAACAGGACTGCAAAAGCTAAAAAAACAATTGCCATTCGTCAGTCATGTGATGCATGCTATTAACTGAATTATTTTTTATGTTCCCAGACAATCCTTTCATCCTCAGTTTCCTATATATATATATGGTTATATTTCAGTTTCAAAGGCCAAGCTAGAAACATGTTAACTTACAGCTGCAACAAGTATGTGCAGGTGGGTATTTATTGAACTTAGAATTGGTATTTTGCAGCTTCAAATGCTAAGCTCAAATATGGTAATATATAGTAACAAAAGCGTCCGTCAAAGCATGCATTAGTTGGTTCAGAACCAAAATTAGCTCAAGGAGGCAGTCAAACACTGAGGATACAATAATTGGCTGTGTTTTTTAAATAAGAATAATGTTTCCATTAAAATTGTATTCCAATCAAGAACAGGCATCTTGACACATGCAACCATACACGGGAAATAAACAAGAAAAAGGCCTCTTCTAAGGTTCTTATTCTCTTTGTTCTACAAACATTGTTTAGCAGTACCTTAATGGTTTGAAAGGGTGAAGGGCGGATCACATAGAATCTGTTACAACTCAATGATTTATTTCCAACCCTCAGATTCATTGAGAATTTCCTTCGAATGCAATGAAGACTCGCCCATAAGGAAGGATTGCGAAGATTCAAGGAAGGATAACAAGCCATTAATTCATAGCAACATTCCTTCTCTCTTACTATGATGGATATATATATTGAAAAAAAAGCCTTCAAATATGAATTTAACCAGAAATACGACTGATGCCAATTCTCCTGCAATGGAAAAGGAAAAATAAAATCAGCCTGAAATGAAATGAACTTTTTTCCAGTCTTCCATTTAAATAAATAAAAGGCTTTACATTTAACCTCCGTCAATGGCATAAGAGAAAATAAGATTTTAAACATAGATGCTCTTTCTTAACCAAAAACAAAAACAAAACTTGTTATTTAGGCATTTTCCTTGGAAAATGTTCGTCTTCCACTTCAAAATTACAATCTTAAGGGCATAATTAAGCAATAATATAGTTGGAGGTAAACAGTTTTGGTCTTTGGTTTCTCCATACCTGGGAATTGGGTGAGAGTGTGTGTTGCAGAGCTTTAACAATTGCCCGCCAAAGATAAAAAAAAGTGGATTCTTTTATAGGATAACTTTGTTTTAGGGCTCCGTTTATTTTACATATACCTTAACCGTATACAACAAATTAATCAAGTAATTTCACACATCTCCCATACCCATTTTCGGGTTTTATTTTATTTTAGCTTAATAAGTAAGTATTTAAATTAGTTTTCTTATTTGTTTTTAAGTTGTTTAAAGTTTTTCTTTCTTTCGAGGTATGTGTATTTAACAATTTTTTATTAGACCGTTAGGAATATTAAAAAAATCTATCAACCACTCAGAAAAGTCAAAGATTTATAAATTTTTAAAAATTTTATTAAAATGTTAAAATTAATGTCGTTTTAAAAAAACTCAAATTTTTTTCAAAAAACTCAACAAAAATTAAACACCTAAAATCCCTAAACTTAATCACTAAATCCGTAATCCCTACTCCTTAATCATCATCGACTGTGTCTTAAAATGAATTCGATGCATAAGATAATTAATTAGATCGACAATTGATTTTAACTTTGGTGGCTTAACGATAATCAATAAAATTTTAACTTTGATAGTCGGTGTTTGCAATTGATTTTATAGACGATGATAATTGAGGTTAAGAATTTGGGTATTTTAGAGATTTAGAAATTTAAGCGTAAGAATTTAGGGGTTTAAAGGTTTAAGGCAACAACAAAAGAGATGACTGATCAGTGGGTGATGATGATGGATGGGTAACTATTCGAGGACAACAATAAAGATTTAAAATTAAAGATTTTAGGAGTTTACTTTTTCTTCCTTTGAGATTTTAGACAATTTTTATTTTTTTAAATAACAATATTTTTATATTTTTAAATAAAAATTATATATATATATATTATTTAATAATTGTATAAAAGACTTAATATAAACATTTGTTTTTTTTTGACGAACCATTTTTAAAATTTATCTTTTGAGAAACATGCCTGTGTAAGCTCCATCCTAAATTAAATGTTTAAAACAGATTCCAAACTATGACATGTCATGTTTCATTTTTAAAGGTTCTTTTATTTTTATGTTTATTTAAGTTTAAAAAATCCTAATACAAATTAAAAGATAAAAAAATGAATATTAAATTACTTGAATTAAATAACTAAATATTCGAAATCAATTTTATAATTAAAATATTTCAACACTAACAACCGATGTATATGACTTGGACATAGACGGGAAAGGCATAAGATTTTATATTAGGAGATAAATTTATAAAATTTTAGAGAATAGTCAACTTATAAAATTTTAGAATAGACGGTAACAGATTATTAAAAAATAGATAGAAAAAAATAAATATATAAAAAAATGAAAATTTTAAGGTGCCAGTTAACATAAATGTTTTGGTTTTTGAGTGTTTTGATTCTACAAATACTTCCATGTAGAAGGAAACAATAAAATTTCTATAAGCATAGCCTCAACGGGCAATCACCATTTTTCACTAAACTAAATATTAGTATTTAATATTGTTGTCAAATTTTAAATTTTATTTTTAAACACGATATTGTAAAATTTAAATTATATTAATTTAAATTAAATTTACAAGATATGAGACTAAAAATACATTAATGTTTATAATTTAAATTGAATTCGGAAATACATTTAAATTGTAATTTATAAAATAAATATTTTTAAAAAAATAAAATTTAAATACTACATCGGTGTAGGTACAAACTTAGTTTAAAAAGCATTAAATTCAAATATTAAGCCTACTTAATATGTTCCAACCCTCAACCAAATAAGCAAATTGCACTGGTTTAATCAACTCGAATTCATTCAAATTTTACACACCTCAATAAAATATAGACATAATGTCAAAATTAGCTTCTCAACGTTTATTAAAATGGTCATTTTACTTATTATTTTATTTTTTGGAACATTTTGATCCCAACATTTCATTTTAAGGCAAAAAAGACAATGACATTTGACAGAATATTCATTTTAAGGCAAAAAGGATAGGACATTTAACAGAATAATCACTATGTATCTTATTCTTTTTTTTGGCATTTTAACGCTCAACATTTTATTTTAGGTTAAAAAGGTTCCTATTTTTTAGCGTTAATAAAGTGTTAACTAATGATTTTCACCAATAGAATGAGTTTTTTGCCCCCAAAGTGAAACGTTGAGGCTAAAGTCCTCCCAAAAAAAGGAATAAGAGCCAAAATGACATTTCGATAAACATTAGAGGCTATTTTTGGCATTATGCCTAAAATATACTAGTTCACCATAAAAAATAAACACTCAAAGTGTGCCCTGTTAAAGAAAATGTTCCTAATTGTTGTTGCTTAAGTTTCAGTTGTAATGTAACAGACCAATTAGGTAAAGAAATTTGATTTCAAAATCCAAATAATTAGTCCAAAATTGTCATAAGTAAAAACACAGCATAAATCCTACAAAAAATAAATAAATAAATAAATGACAATCAAATAGATTAATTCTTTTGTAAAAAAAACATTTCCAGATATTATATCTATAATCATAAAATTTAGACAGTAGCTTGGGCTGCAAGCCTCTTCCTAGCTTCCTCAATGATGGACAACTTGATACCCTTGCCCTTTGGAAGTGAAACCCATGGCTTTGTTCCTTTACCGATCGTGAAGATTTTGCCTAAACGAGTTGCAAACTCGTGTCCAGCGGCATCTTGAACGTGAATTGTCTCGAAGCTACCCTTCTGCTTCTCACGGTTCTTGATCACACCTACGCATCCCCTGTTTCTTTCCCCAGTGACCATGACAACATTTCGGACGTCAAACTTAATAAAATCAACAATTTTGTTGCTCTCTAGGTCAAGCTTGATGGTGTCATTAGCCTTGATCAGAGGATCCGGGTAGCGGATGGTGCGCCCATCGTAGGTATTGAGGTATGGAATACCCTTTTGGCCAAATTGGACAGACCGAACTTTGCAGAGTTTAAACTGAAAAGTATAAGTCCAGTGGAACAAGGTCAATCATTAAAATACAACCAAGGCAACACGATCAAAATACCAGTGAAACTTAACCAATAATTAACAGCAATAGCAGGAAATATAACAAATTGAGGACCAATTGGTACAATACAAACCTTGGTCTCATCAATTGTAATGGTACGAAGGCGAAAACGTCCTTTTGTGTCATAAAGAAGACGGAAGCCCTCATTTGTCTTTGGAATCGAAACAACATCTGGAAACAACAAAATCTTCAGACAATACTCGAGGATAGAGAAGTTCAGGTAAAGTGGAAGCAAAGGAGTCAATAGCAATCCATTGGGACAATTTGCAGAATCTAATTTCAGAGTCTAAAAGAAATGGGAAAATCAACAAAGAAACTGAACTTAAACTTAGTATAAGTTAGTAAATTGAGATTGAGAAAGTAAAAACTTCAAACAAAGGCAAATTCTACATACCCGTGAAACCAGCAGGGTATGTCTTATCTGTCCTAACCTTCCCGTCTACCATAACATGCCTTTGCATAAGAATGGCAATCACTTCTCTATATGTTAGAGCATACTTTAATCTGTTCCGCAGAATGAGAATAAGCGGCAAGCATTCCCTGGACTTGTGTGGTCCAGATGACGGCTTGGGTGCCTGCATGAACAAAGATTCAAAACAAAATTAAAAGACAGCAACATCAAATCGGTGAAAGACCAAAATGATTCAGGAAGATAACATACAAATGCACCACCAAGCTTGTCGAGCATCCAATGCCTTGGAGCATTGAGCCTCTTCAAATGTTTCTTGTACCCTCTAACCTGTAAAAACAAGGACAATAGGAGAAGTTCAGTCAAAAGAGTAGTGTAATAGACTTTGAAACAGAAGTTCAGTTTGACAATAGAAGAAGGCCAGTTTGACAATAGGAGAAGTTCAATCATCCCGAGTTGAGTTTTTATCGAGCTTTGACCGAGTCGAGTTCAAGCTACTCACGAGCTGCTCAACTCATTAAGCACCCCTATCTCTAACTAGTTTACATGTACACTAATAACAACATAAACATTTACCTTTATCTTACCATGTATTATGACAACCAATAATATGTCATAATACATGCAATGATCTTCACTCAGCATAATCGGCCATCAATAATTGAGATGATTTGTCTCAAGCCTCCCTAGTAGCATGCATTATGTCATGCAACATAACGATCATTTATTCATCATAGAACATGTTTGAATCATTTGTAAGTTTTCATAAATCATTTACTACCCACAAGGGTAATCCGATAATTTTCCATGCTTAAGGGTATTTTAGTCTTTACAATAAGAATGAACTCTTCAATTACTTTTTTTCTCATACGAGTGTTTTTAATCATTAGTCTTGTATAATTTATTATACCACATTATTCTAATCATTTTAATACATTAAGGGTATTTCATTAATTTCTCTCTAAGGGCTTTTTTATCATTTATTCCAGTTACAAGGGTATTTCAGTTATTTTCTGGCTTATATCCTTTTTATTATTTTGATAATGTCATTAATATATTAATCTTCTCGCCTTAAAGACATTTCAGAACTTTCACTATTTAATCTCTTTAACACTTAAGGATAGTTTAATAATTTGGCCATAAAAGGGATATATTTGTCATTTACTCATTCATAACACTCAAGGATAGTTTAATAATTTGGCCATAAAAGGGACATATTCGTCATTTACTCATTCATAAGGTTACTACTGTCATTTCCTTAATCATGATAGTTATTTCATTCATTATCTTAGGTCATTTCACTTATTTAAGTTCACACAGCAGTTCAACCATTGTAGCCTCTTAAGAATATTTTAATAAATTTTCACACAGGAGAGTATATTAGACATTTTAAAGCTTATGAGAGAATACTTGATTAATTTTTAGAGTCCTATAACATTTATCTTGCAATCAGAACTTTTATTGGTTAATTATTACGAATAATTATTTTGGTCATTTCACCTGTCAGAGGTAATCTGACATATTATTACGTATCATCACATAATTACTATTGTCATAGGGCATCTTTTTGAGAAGTCTAAAAAACGATAGTCTTAATATAGTGTTAAAGAAATGCGTTATCGGTTTTGTTATTAATTTTTTTAATATTTTCAATAAAAAATTACTTAAAACATTATTATTTCTATCGGTTTTGATATTATTGGGCGCTTTACCGGTTCTGTTAACATATCTAATAAAGCACTACTTAAAACATTATTTTTTTCTACTGGTTTTGTTATTATTGGACACTTTACTGGAAATGTTAAAAACATTAATGTTTTACGTATAAATAATAATATTTTAGGTAATTTTTTATCGAAAATATTTAAAAAATAATAATAAAACTGGTAGCACCTTTCCTTAGCCTATATTAAAACTGTCGCACGGTAGAACTTCCTCCTCCTCTTAAGGTTTACTATCTTTAAGGTGCGTTTGGATGGGGAAAAGAAGATTAACGGGGTGGCAGCCCCGTCCGTGCCATTAATGTTTTAACCCCAATAGTAAAATAAAAATTAAAATTCAATACTATAATCGATGAAATTGAAAGTTTAATTATATAAACGATACAACATTTAAAATTTAATGGTATCCGGTGTAGTTTACCTTAAATTTTCAACTACAAAAATGCAATTCCTACTCCTCAGATAAAAAATAAAATGGATTGTAATTCATACTCTTGTTCTGAAAGAAAATGAATTGCCATAAACAATGGCGGCTCACACGGAGGAGTAACAAAAAGGGTTTACTTCCAATCACAAACAAATCAGACTATGAACTTGCTGAATTGGGTTTAACTTTCCCTCCCAGAAATTGCAGTAGGTGTTCACGTTTCCAGTTGTCAATTCTGCAAAAGAACAGAGAAAGATTCAGAAGGAGCCTCATAGTTTCCACTAAAATCCGAGCAATATTCGACACAGATATAGCAAAATTTTTCGAAGTTTTTAAAATATTTTAAACCATATCCATGTTCAAATACTTATCAGACATGGATATTTCAAAATAACTAAAATGAAAAGTTAAAAGTGTAATATAACTGAAAAGGCTGAATTTCAAGATTTGCCAACCTCGACCTAAACTGCCTTTCAGGATATTATATGTGAAGCATTAGCATATAGATTCTTTAACACTTTAAAAATGATAACTAAAGATAATATAGGCCTCCGAATCGAAACAACGTATTTAGTACAACCACCTACCTAACATAAATTCAAGATCATTGACTTAGTTTTGACTTTTGAGGCAGTAAACAACAACAACAACAACAAAATCATATTTCCATATGCAATGGGATAAGGGGGAGGTGGGGTAGTAGGCTGCCCCCAACGCCAGGTTGAGAGCAGTTTCCGTGGAAGACCTCCGACAGTAAGAAAATTAAAAATAAAAATAAAATACAATGCATGGATAAATAAGTCAATAAATACATAGTTGAAATAGTTGAATAATTTTCATACGCTGTCTTCATATGCGCGTCTGTAATTTGAAGTAATCCCTACAAATAAATCCCTGCGTGAAAATCTCTGCTTATATTATTTTGATATTGAGGGGTAGTCTTCATGGATCGGATCATTTATGACTTGCTACCTAGAAAAAAAAATTGGGAGTTTATTAGAATAAAAAGGATGGATTCCTCAATCAAAAATACTGATCCTTCCAATTTAAAATCATGAAAACTTGTTTTAAATTATTCTTTTAAGCCCCCAAAGTTGGTCTTTAACTTAATGTACCTATAGTATTGATTTTATTACAAATTAGTCCATAGGCTTTGAAAAATGTATAATGTCACAATTTATGCCTAACGTTTAACGGAATAATTACTTTCGTCTCTATTCTTTCTTTTTATTATTATTTTGAAGCACTTTAACTCCCAATATTCTATCTTGGGTCAAAATGGCTCATGGTCGAATAAAAATCGTTAGTTAACTAACGATTAATGTTTGTCGATAACTTGACAAGTCTTATGTGTCTTAAGTACCGACATGATACTACCATGTATACATAAGTGATGATGTAGCATATATCACATGTCTAAAGTGATGACATGTCACATGTCCCAAGTACTAATATGCCACTATTTTTTTTTTGAAATGACTAATATGACACTAATATGTTTAAAAGGATGATGTGACACATGTAATGTGTCTAAAATGACGATATGATATTACATTGTCAACAAAAAATATATTTTTTTAATTTATTAAATTAATATTATTTAATTTTATAATTAACTAATTTCATACATTGATCTCATGGAAAATATGTGAAATTTGAAAAATTGCATATAATGTGTTTTGAACTTGATTCTTTTTAGAAATCGCTAATTTAATTAAAAGTATAAAATATTCAAATTACAATTAAGATTTACAACTAAACACATAATAACAACATTTTCCTAAATACAAAAAAACTAGCCACTTAAGATCACACAATGATCGTAGAAGGAAAAAGCTAAAAAATCTAACCAAATAAATTTGAACAAAATGTAGATATGAACATATATGATTACATCGGTAAACAAATCGTAAAATAGGATGAAATATTGAAAGACGATTGGAAAACTGCAAATCAAAATCCAGCGACGTGAAAATACTATCTACGAACGTAAATATTCTAATCTAATCACTTAATCCATAACGCAGAAGCCTCACAAATCTGTTAGTCAAAACTGTCAACGGACTTTAAGGGCTAAGATGAATACCCTAAACAATTTCGAGGAATAAATTGATGTAAAAAAATGATATGGACAAAATTGATAAATTGGATTTACTACGGGGCTATAACCCTTAAGCCTTATTATTATTATTGTTAAAATATTAAAAATAATATATTCCATTAAAATAATAAATATTATTAATTATATTAGTTATGCATTAAAATAATATTATTATATTATTAAAAATATATTTTAAATACTAATAATTAATATTTTAAATTTTAGAATATTATCTTTATTATTTAATAATAATAGTTTTAAAAAATAAATAATAATAATATTGGCGGTTTTAGAGCAACGGCTAGTTTTTGTAAACGGATTCTATATATATGTAATGTAGCCGCTATTTCTTGAGAAATGTAAGATTCAAAGTTCGTATGAAGTATAATTTGTCAACGACATACTCTGTTCTCTCTGCCTGCGCCGAACCATGCACTCTATTCTCTCTCCCTTTGCCGGCGGCGACCTCCCTTTGCCGAACCATATACTCTATTATGTCTCTCCCCTGCCGTTCAGTTTATTTTCTCAGGTTTGTCTTCTTCTCTACTTTGTTCTTTAATTTTTCTGGGTTTCAATTTTGTTAATCAATCAATCAACAATCGAAGACATGCTGGGTTTCAATATAAATCTTTGGGTTTGATGTTAATAAGGATTGTTTCAGTTTCTTTCTTGTCTCAGAGCTTCATGATGATTATTCTGTTTGAATGCTTTGATAAAATAAACTTTCCTCTGATTTATTCACTCACACGCAGCATGTTTGTTTCTCTGTTTTGTTGTTGATAATAATAATAATATTCTTGTTATTGTACAGATGACAATCCCCGTGGAGAAACATTTGATTGTAAGACGGGTTTTCGCTCGAAATTTAGAGCGCGAGTTGATGATGATCAGGAGCGCAATTCCGAGTTATTCTTTCGTGTCTATTGACACGGAGTTCCCGGGGACAATTTATAAACCAGATAAATAAGTGATCCAAGATTCAAACCCTATCATCAACTATACTTACATGAAGTCTAACATTGACTCTCTCAACATCATCCACCTGGGGTTAACCCTTATGGACTCCGAGGGCAACTTGCCATATTTTAACACC